TACATACATACATACATACATAATGGAAGCAAAAAAATCTCATCTTGTTTCCTTAGTTAAATGTGTCAAAGAAACATCCATGAATTTTGAGCAAAACACAACAAAGAATCCAACTTCAACACTTCCAAACAGCAACCAATCCATCAAAAATTTAAAAGAAATAAAACAAAATTTTAAAAACTGAGAAAGGGTGTGAGTTACATTCATCGTTGTTCTGTAATTGCACAGCAACTGAGCCAGAAGAGGCGAGAAACAAATATCGCAGTGAAGACAACGGCTGCATCAGTTTTTTTCAAGTTTATTAATTGGAATTCTTTTGTTTTGCCCAATTTAAAAAAAAAAAAAAATCGGAATGCTCTGGACACCACGGAGCACGGAGCATTTGCTGCTGAGACACCCCGTGCCTCCGTTGTCTTCGTAGGGAATGGAGACACCGACGGAGACACTCCATTTCTTCCTTCCTTGTGGAGACATGGCTGGTGTCTCCTCAAGACATTATCCAACATCTTCCCTTTCTTTGGTAATTGAGAGTTTAAATAAAAAAATACATTATCTGACAGCTTCACTTCCTCTGGTAACTGAGAGTTTAACTGATAAACAAAAATTACTTTTTTGGCAGGGGTGTGGTGATGACAATTCTGGCTTGAGGATCGATGGAGAAGAATTGATAAAAATGAATTGGTTGAAAATGGTAGAAATGAAGGTTTAAGTGAGTAGTTGAGTAGGTAGGTGAAATTGTTAATGTTAGAATTAAATGAATGAGAATAAACTTACCGGANTGAAATTGTTAATGTTAGAATTAAATGAATGAGAATAAACTTACCGGATTTAATCAATCTTTCCGAATCTACATGAAGCATACCATATTTGGCATTTACCGGATTTACTCTCTTTACCGGATTTTGCATAAATTGAGTTTACTGGATTTGTAAGGACTTACCATATATGCAAGTCCCTTACCCTTTTTGCATTGTACCTACCGTATATTCATGGGCCTTACTGGTTTTTAATGAAAAAACATTGTAATACTTGATTTTCAAGGAGCTCACCGTATATGCATTGAACTCACTGGTTTTGTCAGAAATACTCTGTTTTTCTCTTCTTTTTTTTCAGAATTTTTTCCATTCTTTTTCAGCTGATTTCTTCCAATTTTTTGAAGCTAAGGACCAATTTTTCAGCACTAATCTTCAAAGATTAGTTTTACAATTTATTGGAAATGTTGAA